TGAGTTAAAAAAAAGAAGAAGTAAAAATCGATTTTCATATACACAGAAGTGTTTCGGCCGGGCCTTAAAATCACGAGGCCCAACTAAAAAACTAAGAAAAAGCTTTAAAAAGTAATTTTGCCTGTTTCTCTTCCTCTCTCATTCACCAAAATTCTTTTTACACCATTGTTAGCCCTAGCTGTTTCATTTCAAGTTGTAGAGAAACTTCGAATTGATACAAAACGCTATTTTCCGTGTCCTTTTGTACACTGCTCTAAACATGAGAGTTGTCGAAGGCCGTAGTTTTCCTTTCAGTGATTGTTTGAAAAATCTTTTCAACGAATCCGAATTGGAAGTTGCTTCAATTATGTTGAAGCTTTCTCTTCCCGTCTATTTCTCAGATGATGAAACTCCTGTTAAATGGGGAGCAACTAAACCGAGGACCAGCTCTCGTAGCCAACAACAACAGCCCAAAGTTTCTCCTTCGTCGTTGTTGTTGCCGTGTCCGGAGGTGGGAACTAGTCCAAGTTCGTGTTTATCACGCGAGCCGGTGCAAACTCCTCCAACAACCGTAAGTCTTTTTTTTTTTTTTGACAGAGGTTTAATAATTAATGTTAGGGTTTAGGATCATATTACCATTTTTTTATATGTAATCAAAAGTATTTGTTCACTTTCTCAAGTCCTTAGAAAAAATTGTTTAACACAAACATCGATTTTATTTTCTGCTCTGAATTTTCATTATGTATATGTCAAAGTTATGGTGGGAAATAGACAGTTTTTCCCAATTTCTCTTGTATATAAGCTTCTGTAATGATTTTTTTTTTTTTTTTATAGAAGATCGCACCCTTTGTTATGACAATTAAAAACCTCTTATATGATGTTGATGGGTGCTTTTTGTTTTTGTGATTTTATAATTCGGCAGAGAAAAGAAGATTTAGGTGAAGTTTCATCAATGTATGAAAGATTGAAGAGAAACAGTTCCACTCAGAGAAATATATTTCCAGTTCTCGATGTAAGTTTATATCATACTATATAGTATAAATATTTTTATAACATAACTGCTCAACTATTCTTGTTGAGAAAAAATAATAATATTGCAGAACCTTCCGGAAGAGATGGAGGGTTCCTCCGTTCCCGTAACGCAGCAGCTAATATCGGAAAGTCAGAGAGTGTTTAGAGAACAAAGAGCTACTAAACCTAAACGAGACAGAGAAGAATCGCCATACGTAGCTCCAACAAGCTCAAAACATAAATATTATAGCTTCTTCCCACAATAATAGTGATTAATTAATTACTAATTTGATCCATAGATCTCTATCAACTGATCATATATACATTCAGATCTCACGGTCAAATTCTGTTTTTCAATAGGGTAACTTCAAACTTTTGACTGAGAACGTTTATTGTGTTTTGGTCTATTTATTGACACACAACCTCTCTTGTGTCCCTCTATATATAAAAGATTGGTTTTGGCTTTTAACAATAATCGTCCTATTTTATTTAGCCAATGCAGACAGTTAATACATGCATCTGAAATGTAAGTTTTGACATAATGTATGCTACTAGAACGGCAAACTTTAAATATGACAAACTTAAGAAGATCAGAAGGATGTTTCATGTTTGGTAACATAACTTGTTTTTAAGGAAATACGTGGAGAAAATGTTACACTCCCTACCCAGTAGCTTGAGAGGCAAGGGTTTTTTTTTGGCAAAATGCACGACTCCTCAAAAAAAGGAAACTCAAAACTTTCTTTTAACAATTTTTTTTTGTTAATCATCTAAATTTATGAATTATTACAATTTAACAATTTACTAACAAACAAAATCACAATTTTGAAAAGTATTCCCATTTTTTTTTCCAGTGTTTTGAAAAGGGTTTTTTCCATTTTAAAGTATAAATGTGATTGATCAAATTAATTTAGATTCATTTTTTTGTTTTGTTTAATTAGCAAAAATCAAGGATTGAGCAATTGAGGGCGTGCATGTCTACAAATGAATATGTCTATGCAAAAACAAATTTAATTATTATTTTTTAAGTTGTATAGAGATAAGAAGAATGGGGTACTTTTATGCGAAAATGTATATCTACAACC